CAAGACCGTCTGATCCAAGCCATCCACAGCCTGTCAACCGTTGGCAACACACCTTTGCCACCCCAACCCTGACGGTGGACACATATACAACCGGAGACCCAATCCAGCTCGCCCACATTGGCCGTCATCACCGCAAACATCCCACACAACGGACACTGCACACTGCCGACATCACCACGATTGTAGCCTTAGCACTTGACTCATGCATTTTCAAGGCATGCAATTCATATTTCCTGCAGGTTCGAGGAGCCGGGATTGGCTCTCAGCTCTCCCCGGCCTTGTGCAATGTCGCCATCATCGAACACTCCCGGCATCAACTCCACCATTCTTTGACAGACCACACCGAGATCCATTTCGTCTATACTACCGGTACGTGGACAATCGCTTCATCGCGTTCAACAGCACCTTCCTCAAGCACCTCGCCATCCGGACCTTGATCCACCCGGACTTCTATGGCAACCCAGCGAACTTACATCAACGGACCATCTCCTACATCCCACCTGATGCTCCATGGAAGATACGCGATCATGCCTCAGCTGGATCCACCCGACTACGACTATCCGGTCTACATTCCAGAGCCCACCTCATCCGCAAGTACACCTACCCGTCCTCGGCTGTTGAGCGAGCGCTTGCTCAACTAGCAGACCTATACGTCCAAAAAGGACATGATCTTCGCAGCTGTCGTCAAGCCCTGAAAAAAGCTCACGTCTTAGCTGCTCTCGCTTCCCAGCGGGTTTCCCCATGCAGAGTGCGCCGTCCCCGGCCCTCTGTGCGTGTCAACACCTGTTTCCAAGGTTCTCGTAACTAATTTTTGACAAGGATCGCAGGACTACTTCATGCCACTGTTCCACTCCGGCCCAATTTCAAGCAGCAGGGGTGCAGAGCACAGTGGAGACTGCACCCAACGAAGCTATCCACTTGTGCTGGAAGCAGAGCCTGATCAGCTCTGTGTACCTGCAGCGATTTAATCGGTTCAACTGTTGACAAGCTGTCTCATTCTGTGATTTGCAGTAAGCGGCTAATGCACTACAACAATTTGTTAAACATCTTCAATTTTCCGGACTTCCTCGCCCTTCGGTTTGCACTTTTCTTCCAGTCAAGGGGAACTTCGTACTGATAATAGCTCTTGCGAGCAACCATCTGAGTGTGTGCGTTTATGTCCCACAAGCATGTACGTGCACTGCGTGACTATGTTTTTTGCCTGTGTGTGTGTGTGTAAAACAGCTAGGGGCGTCAGCTGGATATTAGGTTCCAGGAGAATGCGATTAAGGCTTGAAACCGAGCTCTTTTTGCAGGAAGAGTTGATTGGAAAAGTGGAGAGAATAAGTCCGTTTGAGCGGTCAACGATTGGAGAGAAAGGTGATATGTGAGTCAAGCTTCAGAACATGAAGACCCAGGTGGGGATTTGGTAAATACCCATCCCTCTCTTGTGATGGACAAGGGTGATGCGGGGAACTTCTCCCAGTGGCTACATATCTGCATGACACCGTGTGTCCATATTATGTCATCTGGTTAGATCAATGCTCACATGCCTTTGCAATGTTGAGTGCTTACTCTGAGCCGATGGCAACAGCTGAAGGGAAACATGTCAACAACTCCATGGCTGTGAGAGCATGATTCAAACAGGCGCTGCTCGGCTTAGGAAATCTGAAGGCAACGCAACGTGTGGCAACGCCATGCAATTGAAATTTGCATCCCTCTCGTCCCTCTCCTGCTCCTCTTCCTGCTCCTCCTGCTCCATTTCAGCAGGTGAAACCTCACCCTGACAGAGGAGTCTAAACTCTTGAATTGTGCCTAGCTCACAGCAGCTCACACCACAAAAACTGAAAAGTAGAAACTTGCATATACCAACCTCCTGCTCAATTTTGACCAGTTCTTCGTGGGTCATGTCCAGCCATGTAGTGGAACGATGGATCGACAAAATGCGCCTCCAAGTTGCTGTTCTGGCTAAGGCTGTGCCAAGGATAAGCTTTCAGCCTCAGCACTTTGACACTCACCATGAATGCATGTCAGTGCAATTATGTTTCTTATGATCCTTCCATCTGGCGCAGTCCCAGTACAGGCCACGCACCGTAATTTACAATGAGGTCCGCAAGAATAAGTACAGTGAGTCGCGCCTCTCGTGACTGATTTGAACTTTCTGGCGCGGAGGATTGGTCTGTGAAAAATTGAAGGGATCACATCTCAGTAGTAGGTACCATCATCTTTGCCCTGTGCGTCCAGC